ATTACAGGTGACGGTGTGTCTGTGTGTGTGTGTGTCTGTGTGTGTGTCTGTGTGTGTGTTACCTTGCAGGTGAGAGACCGCGTGCAGGGCCGTTTAGTCTCGGGGTCCTGGACTCCACAGTGCTTGTTAGGATCAAACACTCTCCCTGTAAAAACAAGTAAATACACACACCCAAACACACACGTTAGACTAGTACTAAAGGCTGTCGTTCAGTTATTTCTTCCCTCCCTCCCTCCCTCCCTCCCTCCCTTCAAGTATCAAATCACATTTGCTGGGAGTGGGAGCCTCCCAGTAACACAAGTGCATTAATTTGTCTCTTTTGAGACAGCTGACATTTGTCTATTCATATTCCTTTGTTCATTCAGTCATTCAGTCATGGTCTAAGACTACTGTAGTCTGATAGTACTATTCCGTGTGACATTATTAGCAATGCTTTCAGTCTCAAACAGATAAACAGATCTTCGCATGCTGTGACAAATTATTCTTGACAGGACGTACTGGCAGCATGACAAGAGTCAACTGTGACTGGCAGCCCAGGAAAATCTCTCCTGCTCTAATGAGTTGAATCTGAGAGGAAAGTGCACTTTGATGATGACATGTAACCCCTTCAATTTTAAGAATGTGTCACTTTTCAGCCAAAGTCTCCGATGGTTACAGTAAAGAGCTCTTCTTATGTCAAAATATGTTTTATGTGATGGTAATCCTCAGGCAAACATTGAGCATTCTTACAACCAATCAGCTCTTTACTGTGAGTATTGGGATCCCACATGGACACAGTTTTGGTCAAATCTGATTGAACTACATCCACATAGTCCTGAAGAAGCAGATTAGCAGAGTTTTAACTAGTAAACAATGCAAAAAGAACAATGTAATTTAGTTAGATCTAAGTCAGTTGTCCACCTTTTTTAAAAACCTGCAACCTGTCTGTACCTGCTCAATCCCCAACATCCAATAAGACAGCAACAAGAGCGATCATAATGGCCTCACAGATTTTTAAACTAATCCTCAGTTTAACTATATCATCTCAAACAGTTCATACACTTTCTGAAGTACCTCTGCCAAACCTAATTGATGTTTTTGAATTGTTTGGGCAATTACTTTTAACATTCACCTTCATCTTCTCTTTCAAAAACGTGTTTTAGATAATACGGTTAAACCATATTATTGGTTTAAACTTGCTGATTGTTATTGCTGCTTACCATATAATACTGGAAAGCTGCATCGTGTGTACAGTTGTTACCAAATCCTTTCATCTGAGCAGATGGTGAACAAAGTGTTCTCAAATCATGATCAGAAATATAAAAATTTATGAAAGTTGTAAACAAATGAAACTTTCTTTTTATATACACAAAAAAACTTTTCTTTTTTCTTGAAACTACAGTGAATGTTATAACTAAGTAGTTGAAATTTAAGTGATTTTTCTATGCTGATACCAATACCAAAAGCATTGCTCAGGAACACAGAGAGACCTTTGTTGCCCTACACAAAGTAGCCGGCCAACAACAACCTCCGGTCAGCAGGTTATCTTAAAGAGTGTTACTGTCAGAGGGCTGTAATCTAGTGCTGGCCTTTCCTATAATCCCTGTAATCTTTTTCTGTTTGCAGTATGAGACAGGACGGATGGATACGGGTGGACAGAAAAGCGCACGCAAACGCACGACAGCAGCAAACATACAAACGCGCGCTTAAGACATAAACAAACTCACACGCTCGCTCACAAGTTCACACAAACCTAAAAAGGAAGTTGAGAGAGATAGAGAAAGAGAGAGCGACAGAGAGAGATGGGTAGTGTTAAGACAGCCGATGAAAGTCGCTGATGAGAAAGGGAAGCGACACATAAAGGCAAAAGGAACAAAATGAGTAAGAAAGAAGATGATAAGAATAAGCAAACAGTAAAAAAGGAGTGTGTATGAAAGGAAAAAAAAAAAATGAGGCCAGAGTAGGAGCGTGTGAGAGAGAAACGAGGAGGTCGAGGCAGGAGGTGGAGAGTGAGAGGATGAAAAAAAATATAGACACGCAGGAGGTGGGGGAAATCTCTCAAGAAGACAAGCAGCTTTCTGGCAGCGGGAGCTCGTGAATTAGAGGGTGTAAATCAGAGGCTGGGAGCACAGCGAGACTGCAGCACAAACCGAGAGAACTGAGAGAGAAAGGAACAGAGGAGGAAGAGGAGAAGCTGAACAGAGAGACACGACACCGATATCCAGAGCCTGAAGCAAGCGTCGCAAATCTTTATAATTTCAGTGCTGTGCGTGTTTTCGCTTCTCTTACTTCAACTTGTGTGCATCGATGCTCATTTAAGAAGTGAGAAGGATCGAGACAATAGTGAGAGGACGGAGAAAACAAGAGTGAGAAAGACATTACAAACTATAGGGAGGCATTGCTCCCTTTCCAAAACCCACAGTCTCAACCCAACACTGTCCTGTCTGCAGCCAAACATTCAGGATGGAAGCTTTCCAAAGGATCTGGAGATGAGAAACACTGAGTGTGCAAACATGTGAGAACATATGCATGTATATTTATGTAGGAGTTCTTGCGTAAAGCTTAAGGCAGTCATTTATGGAGCAAAGAGAAATATTAACTCTTCCAGTTCAGGAACTGTGTAGCCCAACAGTTACAGAACCAGCTTTCTGACCTTTACGTTGATTGGACCATAAACCGGACAGGAAAATGATTAAATGATTAAATGTTTTCCAGAACTTCAACAACAACAATCTCCTCCCTCCAACTGCCTCCCATTAGTCTGCAGTAGAGGATTGTGGGCCTGTGTGAAGCTCTGAAGATTAATGAGTGTCTCTGTGAAGCATGCACACGCAAGGGTTTCACCTGGGTGAATACAGAAAACAAGCAACGTCGGGACTGACCTGAGAGTCTTTTCTGCGGCCTGGAGGAAGCCTTAGTTCCATTTTGGGGCTTCTTCTCCGATGGCGCCGACGATGACGGCAGAGCACCGGCTCGGTGAGAAGGGGAAGGTGCCGGGGAGGGTTTCCGATCCAGCGGAGAAGGAGAAGGTGTCGATGACGGCCGTCTGTCCAGCGGAGAGCGTGCCGGACTGGGGCGTCTGTCCAGAGAGGAGGGAGATATGGTGGAGCGTGGCGTGGACGGTCCGCTTGCTCCGCGACCGTTCGTGAGCTTCTCGCTGGACCGGTGGGAGGCTGGGGGAGTGAGGGATGGAAGTTTGAGGGAGGAGGGAGTAGGAGAGGAAGAGGAGGAGGTGAGGCGCACGTGTGACGCAGAGTCGGCTCGGTTGAGGCAGGGCATCTTCTCCAGGCTTACGACTGGAAGGGATACACTGAAGAGGGGAAAAGGGTAGTTAAAGCATCGTACTACAAAAGCAGCACTTTATAACGCTGTGAGGAAGAAACAGAAGTATGTGCCCACCATGTCTTGTTCCGTGCCCCCTTTGGTGGGTAGACAGCAAGTGGTGCCTTGCTGAAGCGCGAGTGAGGGTAATCTTTAGGGACCCTGAAGGCCAGCGTGTCCCCAGGACTGGGAGCCACAGCGGGGGCCACTGCAGGTGCTTTAGGCTTCATGGCGACCAGGGGGCTCCTGGAGGGAATGGGGGAAACGTGGCGCTTCTCTGAAACGAGTCAATAAAGAAGCAGAGAGCATGATCTAATTTGTAAGGTCACGTCGATGTAATGACACACACAAAAACACACCAAACAGATCAAGACACTCTCCAACGCTACATGTGTCGTGGGGACTTTTCTGGATCTGATTTGCATCAGAGTGTAGTGCAATGTGGTTTCTTTTTTTTCTTCTTCTTTTTTTTTTTTTTCTAATACCCTGCTTAGGTGCCAGATGGCTGTGTTGTAACACAGGAGAGACAAATCTGTGCCAGAACCTTTCCACAAAAAGAATGAAGTATTTACAAATCAATTACGTGCACTTTTCGCTAATTAGCAACTTGCTTGACACCATCTGAAGTGTCCTCGTGTGATAAACTCCACCAATCTGTTATTATATGAAGTTCAAACAAGAGCAACAATTATAAACACCATTTGACCCAGATCTGATTAGAATACACAATTGAAAGGATGGTGAGACACAGATATAAACGTAGAGGGGAATAAATCACTTGTGGTAGGGGCAGTAGGGGAGGAGAGGAGCTCACACTTACGGTTTTTGCTATGCATGTCTCTGTGGGAGAAGGGTGGGGAGGGAATGAGGGGGTGTGATCCAGGACTGTCTGTCTCTCTCTGACTGTCTCACAGGGAAACTACACCCCAGCTACCTGAATAAAAACAGAGGGGTGAACATGTCATAAATAGAACAGAGAGGAGGTGGGGGAAACACTGCACACACAGTACAAGAGCAGTTTAATTTTAAATGTGACATTTAGGTCTATAAAGGTGTAATATCATATAATGTTCAAAGTT